AATGATAACTTAAGTGAACAAGTTGATGCTATAGAGAATGAAAATTTACATCCTTCCTCTCAACCTAAAAATTCAATTGATGATGTGCAACCTTCTATTCATGATGTGTTTGATCCCAGAACTTGGGAGAATCTTGATAATAAGGGTAGAGATATTTTGATTGAAAAAGGACAAGTGAGAGAATTGAATCTTGAGTTCCCTGTAGATGCTCACAATAGACATTTTTCATATGCTTACTACTCCAGAAAGTTAAGCAATGGTGAGGTGGTGAAAGGTCCTAATGGCTAGAGGGGGGGCGAATAGCCTAATAAAAATTTCTACAACAACACTTAACAAAAGAATTAGACTATTATGAGGCGAAGCGAGTTTTGAGCTAGCCTACCAAAATGCAAGCCACCTACCATAATTCTAGTTTAGATGGAGTATCTCCACACAATAGCTATATCACTACACTAAGTTAGTGTGCTCTCAAAAGCTAACTAAAGAGCCATACTAACTAAAACTAACAAGCTCTCATAACTAGTTACACTAAAGAGCTTGACAACTAGTTTGCGGTAATGTAAAGAGTAGGCAAGAAGGTTATACCGCCGTGTAGATGTATGAACCAATCAATCACATGTGTGGATAACAATGAAGACCAATCACCTCGGAATCAATGATGAACACAATAATTTTTTATCGAGGTTCACTTGCTTGCCGGCAAGCTAGTCCTCGTTATGGCGATTCACTCACTTGGATGTTCACGCGCTAATTGGCTTCACACGCCAAACCCTCAATAGGGTGCCGCACAACCAACACAAGATGAGGATCACACAAGCCACGAGCAATCCACTAGAGTACCTTTTGGTGCTCCGCCGGGGAAAGGTCAAGAACCCCTCACAATCATCACGATCGGAGCCGAAGACAATCACCACCCTCCGCTCGACGATCCTCGCTGCTCTAAGCCATCTAGGTGGCAGCAACCACCAAGAGTAACGAGAGAAACCCGCAGCGAAACACGAACACCAAGTGCCTCTAGATGCAAACACTCAAGCAATGCACTTGGATCACTCCCAATCTTACTATGATGATGAATCAATGATGGAGATGAGTGGGAGGGCTTTGGCTAAGCTTACAAGGTTGCTATGTCAATGCAATTGGCCAAGAGAGTGAGCTTGAGCCTGCCATGGGGCTTAAATAGAAGCCCCCACGAAATAGAGCCGTGGTACCCCTTCACTGGGCACAACGCGGGGTGACCGGACGCTCTGGTCCGATCGACCGAACGCTGGACCTCAGCGTCCGGTCACGTGATTCACGCCACGTGTCCCCTGCTTCAAATACCGTTCATCAGATTTCAACGGTCGTTAGCAGACCGGACGCGTCAGTTAGAAAGTGATCGGACGCTGGACCTCAGCGTTCGGTCGTTTCCAGTAAGGTTCCAAATGCGATTTTTCCCGACCGAACGCGTCTGGTCATGCTTGACCGGACACAGCCAGCGTCCGGTCACACAACGTCTCCTCTGTACGTCATGCGTCAGCGTACGTCAGCACTGACCGGACGCACCCTGCCAGCGTCCGGTTGTAGAGCGACCCAGTGTCCGATCGTTTGACCGACGTCAGCGTCTTCGCTGTTACATCTGACCGGACGCGCCGATCCAACCGAGGCCAGCGTCCGGTCACTCCCAGTAACCTTCATCTTTTCTGTCTAGGGCGCCGGTGGAGTTTCTTGCCCATGCACCTAAACTTCACCACCCTTGATCAAATGTGCCAACCACCAAGTGTATCATCTTATGCACATGTGTTAGCATATTTTCATAAACATTTTTAAGGGTGTTAGCATTCCACTATATCCTAAATGCATATGCAATGAGTTAGAGCATCTAGTGGCACTTTGATAACCGCATTCCGATACGAGTTTCACCCCTCTTAATAGTATGACTATCGATCCTAAATGTGATCACACTCTCTAAGTGTCTTGATCACTAAAACAAAATAGCTCCTACAATTTATACCTTTGCCTTGAGCCTTTTGTTTTTTTCTTTCTTCTTTCTAAGTCCGAGCACTTGATCATCACCATGGCATCACCATCATCATGTTATGATCTTCATTTGCTTCACCACTTGAAGTGTGCTACCTATCTCATGATCACTTGATAAACTAGGTTAGCACTTAGGGTTTTATCAATTCACCAAAACCAAACTAGAGCTTTCAGGTGGTCGATAGAAAATGGTTGGTTTACTCTAAACATGTGGACAAAGTTTTTTGTTTTTGCTGCAAATTGTTCAAATCATATCAGAACAAAAGTTTGGTAGCACACGATGGATTGAGGGACTAAAAACATCTTAGTTTAAGACTCAAGGAATATGAGAATAGTGTTGAGCATATAAGAAACATTAATACTTAGAATGAACTTAGGCTGAGGTTGAGCAAAAATAAAACAATTGATGATGATTTGCAACAAGAAATTGCAAAGGAGAGAGAGCGTTGGAGACAAGTTTTAGTAAGAATCGTTTCTGCTGTCAAGTTTCTTGCTAAACATAATTTGGCTTTCCGAGGGTAAAATGAGAAACTATATCAAGCTAACAATGGTAACTTTCTAGGCACAGTTGAAATGATGGGTGAATTTGATCCTGTGATGCAAGACCATATTAGGCGGATTCAAAATAGTGAGATTCATCATCATTACCTTGGGCATAAAATTCAGAATGAGATAATTTCTCTTCTTGCAGATTGTGTAAAACAAACTATATTAAAGATCATTAAGGATGCCAAGTATTTTTTCTATGATTTTAGATTGTACTCCAGATGTGAGCCATGAAGAACAAATGACTCTAATTATTAGGTGTGTGAATATATCGGGGAATGTTCCAAGGGTAGAGGAGTTCTTCCTAGAGTTTTTGAAGGTTGATGACACATCAGGATTAGGTCTTTTTAATGAATTAAAGAGTGCATTGGCCTCTCTTGGTTTGAATATTGATGATGTGAGGGGTCAAGGGTATGATAATGGTTCAAATATGAAGGGGAAACACCAAGGTGTTCTAACGCGCTTGCTTGAAATTAATCCAAGAGCACTATATATGTCGTGTGCATGTCATAGTCTGAATCTTACTCTTTGTGATATGGGAAAATCTTGCAGGTAAACTATTATTTCTTTTATATGTTATATATTGTTTTTATATAATATACCATTATTTGGGATCTTACTATTTGTGATATTTGAAATCTTGCAGGCAAGCTATTTTTTTTTTGGCATTATCCAACGTATATACACCCTGTTTGCAAAATCTACCAAAAGGTGGAAGATTTGGTTGACAATATCCTAGGATTGACAGTTAAGTCATGGTCTAATACTCGCTGGGAAAGCCGAATAAAAAGTGTTCAAGCTATCAGATTCCAAACTCCTCAAATAAGATCAGCTTTAATAGCGCTAGAGAAGGCTTCAACCGATGACCCAATGGCAGTTAGTGAATGTCAATCTTTGGTGAGTGCACTTGAGAATTTTGAATTTATAGTTGGTTTGGTTATCTGGCACGATATTTTATTCTCTATAAATAAGGTTAGGAAGAAGTTGCAATCTAAAATTGTGAGTATAGATGCTACTCTCAAACACATTAAAGATGTCATATCATATTTTAAGAAGTATAGAGATGAAGGTTTCACTTCTAGTATGGATATAACAAAAAATATTACATCTGAATTGGATATAGAGCCAATATTTCCTACAAAACGTCAACGAAAGAGAAAGAAACATTTTGATGAACAAGATGACCGAGACGAGGAAATACAACAGTCTGCCGTGGACTCCTTTAGAAGAGAGTACTTCCTAGTTATGATTGATTGATTGATTCTGCAATTGCTTCATTGACTAGTAGATTTGAGCATATGACAGCATTTGATAATGTTTTTGGGTTCTTGTTTAACTCAGAAAATTTGAACTCCTTAGATGAAGCTGATCTTTGGTTGCGCTGCAAGATTTTTGTGGAAAATTTTTTCATGATAACTCATCCGATGTTGAGATCAATGATTTTTTTTCAGAATTAAAGGTGTTGCAAGTGATTTTGCCAGATTCTTTGATGTCGGCGCCAAAGATTCTGAAGTTTGTTATGTATGCAAATTGCTATCCAAATATTTCATTTGCCTATCGAATTCTTTTAACTGTACCTATGACTGTAGCTTCGGCCGAAAGAAGTTTCTCAAAATTGAAGTCGTTGAAGAACTATTTGAGATCAACTATGTCACAAGAAAGGTTAAATGGCTTGGCTATGTGCATCATTGAGAACGATATCTTAGACACTATTGATCTCGATACCGTCCTTGATGATTTTGCATCAAGAAATGCCCGAAGAAGTATCCTTTTATAAGAAGCAGGGGATATGATGGAGTTCTATTATTCTTTAAGGTAATCGTATTAGTTATAGAAGTACAAATATATTGCTCTTTTAGTCTACGTTGTTTCTCGATCTCGATAATTATTAGACATATTAAATTAAAAATATATTATTGGATTTGCTTTCCTATACAAGTAAAATTAGCCTATATATTCTAAAATTTTATGGTCTAGAGGGGCCGTCGCGACGAGTTCGCCAGAGGGCCCTCGAAATCGTAGGACCGGCACTGGTGATCAATTATGTATGCAGGAGAAAAAAAGGTTTTTTGCATGCACTTCATTGAATGGAATGGATGTACAACTATTCTGACTATAGCGAGCTTGATTAGAGATTCTCATTGTGGATATGGGATTGTGAAAAACTTGAGGGTTGGTGCTTCTAGCTATCATGTGATCCCTGTTCTTTTTATGAATCAATCAATGAAGTCTTAATTCATTTGCAGATTGAAGTGCTGCTTCCAAGCAAAAAACGAGCAGCTGGGATATTGCAACATTATAATTTACATTACAATATTGCTCTAGTCAGGGTCAACGATTACCGTCCTAGCCATAGCCATTCACTAAAAATTCAACATCAGTTGCTTAAGGATTGTGAAGTAGTAGCTTTGGGACGTATCTTCAAATCCGGCGAATTAATGGCGTCAAGAGGGGAAAAGGCTTGCATGTTGTACACATATGATTGCAAATTTCTTATGTTTTCTACATGTACAATCACTAAAGTAAGTCTGCTATCTTCTGTCCTATTATTGGTTGATAATCATGGTTGCATTGGACTGTGTATTAATGAGTTAATTACGATATCTGTTCGACATTTCCAATGAAGACTTCTCCTTTTACCTGTTAGGCCGGCATTGGAGGGCCCCTTCTTGATTTTGATGGAAATATTGTTGGCATGAACTTCTACGACAACTACGCAAGTGGAACCCCGTTCCTACCATGGGACGTGATCCTCAATGTCCTGGGACATTTTAAGAAGAAAAGGTATGCCTATTTCTTTTTGGGTATATTTAAGTGCTTGTCATGTAATGTATTTAGGTCTGGAGGATTTACAAGAGTTGTGTAAGCAATCTATTATAGAAGGTTCTGTAAAGCATCATTAATCAATTAAATATCTTCTTTGGTGTGTTTTGTAGGACCGTTGATGAAGCTGGCCTTGATGATTATGCATCTACTAAGCTTGACTGGACTATTGCTGGTGATCGCAGTGTCATGCTTAATAGGTATTCTGATGCATCTAATAATTATTACTATATAAGTTCAATGTTGGATGACATTACATTGTTGCCATATCATGGAACTACAGTTGGCATGTGCCCTTGCCGACTTGGTATCATCCTGATGATCTGAAAAGGCATGACTACAAAATGGAACTAGAAAATGTGAGGTCCCGTAAAATATTCTTGTGAATGGAGTGACATCATCACATGAATGGAGTGACATCATTGCAAGTTTTGAAGGCATCAGCATCACGTCCTACTCCATTGATTTACTATCTTCATATATCTCATCTGATGGACCTGTTTGGGTTGTGCAACTGACAAGCATCCAGAAGTGACCTTTTTGCCACACGTATGGCGCCCTATTTGTGAACTGTTACTATTTTGGGCTTAGCTGTGTAATTATACTTGGGCTCTCTGCTTACGTTGTACTACATGTTATATTCGTAATCAAACCGTTCAGGTCCATGTTTAATTTACTCGACGATGGTGCTGCCTTGTTTAATGCATTTGGGAACACTTAGGTTATGGAGTACCATTCAAGAACTGAAATGTGCCATGCTAATTTTTAAATGGTATTCCATTGGCACGTGGCTTTGATAGTACAAAGTGCAGCGCTAATGGTTTTTGTACTGGATGCTGCCATTTGAATCAAGTTCGAACCCAAAACTCGCCCTCCCGGGATGGTGCCACCACATAGGGGCAGCGTGACCTAGTCTACAGGGACCACATGAAGGCCTACAGCATCGAGTCAAATATGGTGAGACCAAAGGAACATTGGCCCATCTTCTATTGAAAGCTTGCCCAAATAGCATCATGTTTATTTTTTTCTTGAAAACACAGAAGAGCTACGCTTTATTATATTAAGAAGATAATAAAAAGGGGTAAGAACCCATACAACACAACACACTCTGCAGCAGCTGTTGCTGCTGCTGCTAGGAAACTAACGCGCCCATGACAGAGAAAACACGACCACAATAGACAGGGCGCTAACCACCCGGAGCGAGGGCATCCACAAGAGGGATAATCCTCAAGCCCCCGCCAAAGACCACGACCTTCTGTCATCTTCCGCTACATCAAGAGTGCCTGCAACACTTGGGGCTGCACCATAAAAAACACATCTGTTGTCGGTGTGTCCATAAGGTCCAAGCTCCCAAGATTATGAGAGAGTTGATTCCTTTCCTTACCATGTCACTAGCAGCATTGCTCACTCTCTCCCACCACGAGTGAAAGGATGTTTCTGTGGACTACGGGGGAAAAGCTTGGAGTCCAATCCGAGAAAAGAAACAGAACCAAAACAGCATCATGTTTACCATTACAGTGTTTCTGATCTGTGATATTTAGAACGAATAGTTAAATTTGAATTGATAGTAAATTTACTTCAGGAAATTTCATAATTATGTCTGACAAATAGTATTTTTCAATACCTGTCCTTTGTGAGCGAAAGAAGATTATAAATCAAAAAAAATTGGTGCTTTACGCCTAGAGATATTAATAGGCGCAGACCATGTACTAATACAGGCCTTGTTGGGACTTATTAGCTAATAGCTCATAGCTACACATTAAAAAAATAGCTCATAGCCAATATTAGCTAGCTAACTATTACGTCCATGGTCTGACCCAACTCTTAGCTAATATTAGACCTGTTTGGATCATTAGCTAACATCAGTTGCTTAAGGATTGTGAAGTAGTAGCTGTGGGGTGTATCTTCGAATCCAGCGAATTAATGGCCTCAAGAGGGGAAAAGGCTTGCATGATGTGCACATATGATTGCAAATTTCTTATGTTTTCTACATGTAGAATCACTAAAGTATGTCTGCTATCTTCTCTCCTATTATTACATGGTTGATGATCATGGTTGCATTGGACTGTGTATTAATTAGTTAATTACGAAATTACCAATGAAGACTTCTCCTTTTACCGGCCTGTTATAGGCCGGCACTGGAGGGCCCCTTCTTGATTTTGACGGGAAATTTGTTGGCATGAACTTCTATGACAAGTACGCAGATGGAACCCCGTACTTAAAGTGGGACGCGAACCTCCATATGTCTTGGGACCTTTTGAGAAAAAAAAAGGTATGCCTTGTTCTTTTGGGGTATTCAAGTTCTTGTTATGCAGTGTATTCAGGTCTTGAGGATGTACAGAAGTTGTGCAAGCAATCTATGATAGCTGGTTCTGTAAAGCATCATAAATCAATTAAATATATTCTTTGGTGTGTTTATTAGGACCATTGATGAAGCTGGCCTTGATGATTATGCATCCAATAAGCTTGACTGGACTATTGCTGGTGATCGCAGTGTCAAATTTAATAGGTATTTATTCTGCTGCATCTAATAATAATCACTATAAGTTCAATCGTACTATAAATTTATGGATGGCATTACAGATGGCCTGTGCCCTTGCCGACTTGGTATCGTCCTGATGGTCTGAAAAGGCATGACTACAAAATGGAACTAAAAAATGTGAGGTCCCGCAAAATATTCTTGTGAATGGAGTGACATCATTTCAAGTTTAGATTAGAAAGCATCACGTCCATTTCTACTCCATTGAATATTTGAATTACTACCTCTTATCTGATTGATCTGTTTGGGTCGACGAGCATTCAGAAGTAACCTGGTGCCATATGTACTAATCTTAAAATGTCACTGTCTTGGTGTTTGTTTAACTAATTGACTAGAATACTCCTGTATCACGCCGCCGCCTGCACCATTTTAGAAATGACACAAGTCTTTATTCCTAAATGGCGCTTCTTCTTTTTTTTAACCTATTGACATTTGGCTTTGACAGTTCAAATTACACTGAAAATGAATCACCGGCTTCTTGGTCATCACAGTAATTTGTTATATATCCGATCGGAAGCTTTTGTTATCTCCTAGGGCTGCTTGTTCAGATACCCATGGTGATTGGTGAATGACATATTTGAACAAGCCATGCAACTGCACGTTTAGTCACAGCAGAAACCAGCGATCAGAGCCTGAGAGCTAATAAAGCATAGGCTATATGGACAATCACCTGCAGGGTCAGCGGTGGGCAATGCAAAGAAGCCACGAGAGCCAAAAAAAAATGCAAGATGCTAAATATCACCACCAGTGATATTTGTGACGTAAGCATATAGGTCACGCAGTGCTGACCACGTGCTACGTTATTTCTTTTTCCTTAAGAAAATGGAAGGCAGCAGGGGCTACAGTTGAAGTGGCAATCTTGCGCAGGAAGGTCGGACAACCTTCCGCAGGAAGCTTGGTACTTGGAGGCACCTCCACTCCACTGTCCCAGTCCCATATAAATATGTCCAAATGGGTGTTTGCCGAGAGCATCACCTGGCATTCCAAATCTCCAATTTCAAACACGAGAGCAGTCAAGACTGTCAAGCAAGCACACAAACGCCCAATCGTCAGGAGAACTGGAGAAGCAGACCAGAGCCCATATGGGACTCTCCTGCATGCCATCGCTCGCCAAGGTGTTCCCCAAGAAGCCATCCTCACCATCTTCGTCTTCCATCAAAGACTCTCATGACAATATCACCAAGAAGCAGCAACAAGGAGTGAAGCAGGATGAGGGGAAGAAGAAGAAGGAGCAGAGGAGCGATCTTGACAAGGCTGCCTCCACCACTCCCTACTTCCCCTTCCATTCTGGCCAGGAATCCTCTAGTCTGCCTATCCTCGGGTAGGAAATTCATGTACTGTCAGCCTGTTCGGGAGGCCGTATCGTATCGTGGATTATTTACTGCTGGCTGGTTTGGTGTGAGAGAAAAACACTATTTCCGGTTGGAAATTTACAATCGTTTACGAGCAAGCGAACATGCTGTGTATTGGTAAATCCTAACTAATTGGTTTTGGAAGATGTGCCATTTATGATTAGGACTTGAGAAAACTGTTAAGGTGGTGTTTAAATCTAGGGATAAAGTTTAGGGATGTCACATGTGGGTTTTTGGATAGTAATAATAAAACAAATTACAGAAGTCCTCAGTAATCCGCAAGACAAATTTATTAAGCCTAATTAATCTGTCATTAGCACGCGTTTACTGTAGCACTACATTGTCATATCATAGCCTACTTAGGCTTAAAAAAATTCGTCTCGCAAATTAGTCGCGATCTGTACAATTAGTTATTTTTTTAGTCTATATTTAATACTTTATGCATCCGATGTGATATGGAGTAAACTTTAGGGGAGGAACTAAACAAGACCTAAGTGCAACAATCTTGTGAGTCCACATCAAGATGCGTGGATCAGTATGATTCTAGTTAACATCTGGCACTAAATGCTACTGTATGTTTCAAATCTTTGTTTTCTAACTGTTCACTTGAGCTTATTCAGCACTATTTTTTCGCATAAGCCAAATTTCAGCATAAGTGAACAGGGTGCAAGTGGCAGTTGCTAGTTGCAAATACACCCTACTGTTAACCTGCACGCAATTTACAGCTATGTAACATGGAGGACGTCCTAATTGTATCACATATTACCTACGTCATTCAAGCGAAAATTTCTGCAGATCCTGGACCTGCAGCCCCTTGTTCCTTGTCGAGACGCCCAGAGTCATACCAACAGAAACAAGGGTTTCCAGTGACCTTTCGTTGTTTGCCACAAGATCAGCATCAAATTGGATGGCATCCTGCCACGCAGAGTCAAAGTTTCATGAGCAATAATTTCGTTTTAGAATCTGTATGTATGAGTGGCAACAATTTTTTATGCATAAAATGGACAAATAGTTAGCAAGCAGAGAAGCATGAGAGAACCTTCTCGAAGACGCATATCACTGTGCTCCCTCCAAAGGAGAAATACCCAAACTGGAAGAGAGAAAAAAAGATGGAACAGATAATTTTACACCTTCACACAAACATCAGAAGAAATTATCACAATATATTAAGAGGAAATGCATGAAAAATACCTCATCTCCTTTGTGGACGTAGTCACCCTCTTTTTTCAAGAACGTGATGCTTCCTACCATGGTTGCTCCAATCGCAACAAATGCTACCTGAACCATGCCATCAGGAACAAGAAAAGTCATTGCATGATGAGTAAAGGGCAGCTAAGCTTCAGGCTGTATTGACTTTATAATCAGTTCATCTCAAAGAAACGGTAAACAAGTGAATCATAAAATATATTTTGACATTCGTGTTGCTCCAAAAAAATATGCACAAAGACCCTGATAAACAATCAATTTTAACATACATTGACAAATTCAACTGTAGCATCAGATCAGACCAGTTCGAACTATTCAATAAATACTAGGGAAGATTCTAAACTACATGAGCATTGCACACCCTTTTCTGTTGAGTTTGCTGACAACTTTAGGAGGTAAAATTAATCCAATATTCAATAAAAAAAACTGATCCAACATAAGAATGTAAAAGAGCAAAAATGCAAACCTTTCCAAACTCGGAAGTTGATATTATTGAGACAACTCTTTTATTCTCAGTGAATACATTGCAATACTTGCTATTCACAGCAATGGGATTGACCTGTCAAATGCAAATAGACCAGCATCAACAAGATGCTGAGAAATGACAAGAAATTTATAACACAAACATGCCGATATACTTCCGATATAAGTATTATATACCGTGTACAGGCACCCAGGAATTTCCACAAATTTCTCCACAGTTCCTGAGACTGGCACATGAAACCTATGGTAATCCTGCACATTACAAAGTGTTAATACTCATGATTCCAGAGTATATTTTCGACAAAACATTGAGCTTTTAAAAGTAAGGATTTTATCTTAACAAGGAGATTAAAATCTGTACCTGAGGTGCGAGCCGGAAAATGACCAATGATCCATTGCTTAAAGCATCTGAGTGCACACTGGTCCCTAGGAGACCCTCAATTGAAAATTTGCGGCCCTAGGAACAGAAGGATACTACAGTGAGACATCAACTAAACATTCTACCATATGAAGGATCACGCGTTGTGCTTTGCATGGACATGTCTCAATAAGTCTCATCTCTTAGTCAACTAGTGCCTTTACCTTGATCCAAAGCCTTGTGCTCTCATCAACGGAACTGAAAGCCATTAAACGGCTATCAGCAGCACAAGTAGCAACACTGTCTTGGTTACCATGTGCAATTGGTCTGGCATCAGGCTTCAGACCTCTAATGAAAAATTCATTAAAAGTCTACAAAGAAAAAAAAAACTAATTCAGCCCATACATAAGACTTTTCAAAATCAAATCAAATGTGCCATCCCATCAATGTCTATTATTACTTCATTCCGAAAAGATTGGTGTCATAGGAAGTCCAACAGATAGTAAACATGATGGCTTGAATTACTACTATAGATACATACCTTAAAACTTTCAATAGGGTCCTTGACCTCATCCATATTAATTTGACCCTGCAGTTATATACAATGTATATCTAAGTTGACAACAATGGTTTATATAAATGCAAACGATCAAACTACATTCAGAATTTCAGATAGATAAGCAACAAAATGGATCAACAAGTAAATATCAAGACCAAATGACTAGCATTTTAGCAAGACTCAACAGAGACAGTCAAGCTATTGACGAAGACTCATCCATGGACCAAATTCCCACACAGTTAAGGTTGAGCTGAAAAGATAACAGATAAAGACTGATTTTTGCTCCCAAAGAAAAAACAAATGAAGACTGGATTTTGTATTACCTCCAAGGACTCTATGTAAATTAAAAAATAGAAATTGAATGGGGAAAAGGGTTTGTTGTTCTCCTGCTTTTGTGTTTTCTATCATTCACCAAAAGCAGGCCTTCAATAACCAGTATACATTTCTGGGATCACACTTTCACATAGTGCATATTCTATATATATCTTTGCACCATTTGAAGGATAGGAAATTATTGTGAAAACTTCGAAAAAAGTACAGTATTTTTTAGAATTTTGTTGTAATTTAAAGTTTTATTCCATATATATCCAAGGACAAGGACTTTTGACTCCATACTACTTATGTTACTTGAAAATTAAAAGTGAAACAACTAAGTGCTGGAATTAACACGGCTCTGACATATAATGATTTGTGTATCTTGTAAGTGTTGGCACAGAAAACCCCTGCACATGTGAGCAATCAGCTCACCAGCACACTCACACTCACTCATGGCTAGAGGTAGAATAAGATGAGAACAGAGCACACACAGCACCAGCACCAGCACTGAGCTGAGCTCTGAATGTGTTGCAACTGAACTTTTCAATTCTATGACCAGAGTATATATACAACTCTTGTACCAGCTATAAGGTACACAAGAGTATGGCTGAGATCAGCCCCAACTACTCCTACATGGCTGAGATCAGCCACTACAACTAGTGGCCTATTGCCATACATCTACTTGTACTAACTAGAACATGAAGTAGTTGGCCTATTGCCATACTTCATCAGTAGTCAGCAGAGCTGACCGATTGCCAACTCTACTGCTGCAGCAAAACAGAAGAAAGGGGCAGCAGCAGATTATCTTACAGTAAGTGCATTTCAATGTTTTTGAGGCGTCGCCTAGGCGACAAGGCGTGGTCGAGGGCCTGGGCGTCGGGGTCGCCACGACCTCAGCGTGTATGGCGTCCGCCTCATAGGATTAGGCGTCGCCTAGGCGCGAATGGCGTCGGGCGGACGCCAGATGCCGGTCGTAGGGGAAGGGCGCCAAAAGGAGCGCGGCCCTGCAGGAAATCGACCGCGCGCCCGCAGGAAAAGTAAGAGGCGCGGAAAATCGACCGCGCGTGCGCCCAGGTAGCCTCTTCGCGTGGGAAATCGACCGCGCGAGTCATTCACCGCGAGTGCGGGCGAGGGGAGAGGAAGAGAGAAGGCGGCGGACGGACCTCGACCTTTGCTGGGCTGCTACTTTGCTCGTGTCCACCGGCCGGCCGCCCCTGCCGCGGAGCCGGCCTGCATCTCCGCTTGGCCGTCCGCTCTGCCTCCTCGTGCTCTGCTTTGCATCTGCCGTCCGCTCTGCTTGGCCGTCCGCTCTGCCTACTCGTGCTCTGCTCTGCCGTCCGCTCTGCATCTCCGCTTGGCCCAGGTAGTCTGAATATTGTATACTCTTGTGTATTGCATCTCCGCTACTCTTGTGTATCTCCGCTCTGCCGTCCGCTCTGCATCTCCTATTTAATTCCACTAATGCTTGCTAATTTGTTATCTTGCCTCTTGTGTATTGTTTCCTATTTAATTCTCAGCAACTAATAACCTGTTTGATTGCTGAATTCTGTAATTGCCATGCAGTTTCCTTCAAGAGGGATGGATGCTACATGGGAGAAGAGCTTTTGGAAAGGAAAGAAAGGAACATGGGCTCAAGAATTGGCAACAACGAGGTATGTATGTGCTGCACTAGTATATAAAATTCTAGCTTACAACGCCTTACAATGTGTGTATGGCGTCGCCTAGGCGTCCGCCACAAACGCCTAGGCGTTGTGAAGGGGGTCGGGCGTGGCGTCTCGCCGCGGCGCCTCAAAAACATTGGTGCATTTTCATGGTAATATGGAAAGAAAATAAGAAAAAACAAAAAAAATACAGATAAACAGCATATGAGCATAACTCAGGCAGAAGCTGGCAATGGCAGTAAGAAATTACAACATAAACATGGGACCACAGAATATTTCCACATCACATCATCTCTAGGGTTCGTTAGGTTTGCAAATCATGTGCAACTGTGCATGTTCTTCATCAAGAATTAAGTAAAAAAAGGTTTAGTCATACTCTGCACCTTAAATA